GGGATTAACACTCAGGCAAGTGTGATTGACCCGCAGGGACCGTCTGGTTGAACTGGATGAGTCACATCCATCCAAACCAGTGCTGGCAGCTGATGGGCAATGAGCTGGATGCTCCTCCTGCTGCTGCCAATATGTTCCAGTGCAGCCATCCTGGAGCCAATGAACCACCTCAGACATCAACATCACAGGCTGGAGGCAGTGAGCTGCACTCAGGGACCAACCCATGCACAATAACGAGGTCTCCAGTTCAAACCACGTGAAGATTTTCAGTGCCCAGCCTGAGCTTTCTGAGGCAGCATTAACACATCAACCCCTGTGTGGATCCCTCTCCCTCCCCAGTGAAGCAAGAGGTCCAAGAGAAGGATCTCACCGTGGATCCTGAAGTCCTCCTCGAAGCACTTGCGGTTAAGCAGGAACTCTGGCCCTTCCGTGTAGCTGTAGAGCTCTGCCAAAAAAAAAACCACAGAGGAAAATCTCCAACAAGGTGCACTAAGGTGTGGGAAAAAGCCACAAGTCAGGCACATTAATTGAAGTTTTATCCAAGATGAGGGAAATGCAAAAAAAATAACCCCACACCCAGCACAAAGCTAAAAAAAAATATTAATGATATGATCTCACTTCTCTTTTAATGTGAATGAGGTGTTTCCAGACAACAACAGAGTAAAACTGGAGTTGAAAAAGATCCTCTAATCATTGCCAGGAAAGAGAATTATGGCTGATTAATTAATCCATCAGGAGGAGTCTCTTACCTGACAGCTCTGCTGCCCATTTATCGGTATCTGCATATTCAAACTCCAGGTCTGGAGACTCCGAATAACCCTGAAAGTAAAGGAAGAATTCAGTGAAATTACAAGAGTTTTTCCAGGAAAACCCAAATCCTCAAGATATTCCCAATTCACCTCGTCCTCTCGTGAATCCAGGACTGGATCTTCTGTTTAAGAGATTAAAAAAATTGGACCTGCAGCAGCGTCAATGTTACCATGGCAACTCCTCACCCACCTCCTGCATCTCCAGCCCGGCTCCGCCGCATTGAGCCACGCCAGGATGGGCAGCTCCTGCCACTGCACCACCTCTAAAACACTCCCACAGCCCCCCAAAAGGACAAACAAATAAAGCAGGAGATGGGGTGTGTTTAATCTCAGGGTGGGGAGTGGGTTATGTGGGAGCAGGGAGCTCTCAGAGCTCATCCATTTTGTAGAGATGTGTGAAAATTGGGGTTATCCCCACCCAGTGCTGACTGGAGAGATGCCAGTAAATGTGAAGAGTAAGGATGAAACAACTCCAAACAACTTTGATGAGGTGGGAAAAACATCCAGGAGAAGCCTTAAGAGCAATAAAACATCTTCTGCCTTTAAACAAGTCATCAACATAAACCCACAGCAAAACCACCCTGAATCTCAGAGCACCCACTGCTGAGCGAGGGGCAGATCGATGGGTGGTGGGGTCTGTGCTGCTCTGCAGGGCTGGGAGCTGTTCCCTGGCACCCAGAGCTCATGGAGATCTCCTCACAACCCTCTCCTGTCATTTCAGAAGTGTCCTCCATCCCGGTGAGGACACCCATGGAAGTGGAGAGCGCTGGAGCCATCCCAGGAATGAAACCAGATTTGGGGAACACGATGGAAAAGCTGTGGGATAAATCAGCTCGGTCCAGTCCCACAGCTCAGGGGTCTCCACCAGCACCTCGGTGTCTCCTTGGAGGGGTTGGTCACCTCTGGTCAGAGCCACCCCTGGACCGAGCACCGCAGCCCAGGCAACCGGATACGCGGGGATCCAAAAATCC